AAACGAAAAAAGTTAAAATACAAAATGAAAATTTCTATAAACGTATATTTTAGCCATTATACCTTAAATTAATGATTCAACTTTGGAAGAAGACAAATGCTGAAGTGAACCAAACTGTTCCGACCACAGCAAGACAATTTTTACTTTAGCTTATTTATAAAGAATAACAATAACAATGTAACTGACCTGAATTCTGGCACCTTGCAAGGGTTTTTTCCACAAGCTTTCAATGATCTTTTGAAGGGAAGAGAAGTTCGGAGTAGCCCCAAGCACTTGCCCAACAAGCGAGATTTTCTACTCAGCAGTTCCTTCTTCAAAAACTTCTGGCAGAGGATGAACAGTTGGGGTGCCATCTTTAACATTTGGGGGAAAATAGCGAAGCTGCTGTCCAGTAGAACAAGAGAATAGTTTACGCCAATCCATCGATTAAACCAGATGAATATATAACTTGAAGATCAGCAAAGAAACAGAGAGAATCGGTGAAGGATCTGCGAAATTTCTGGCAAAACGGATGGGTTTTTTCAGATTCCATTAGACCCGCTAATGTGCGCCGAGAGAAACCCATAAACGTGCGCCATCTAAGGAACTTAAAACAAGTGACCAACCAACATCTGATGTTCAATCCTCTGAAAATTCCCCTCTGTCTCTGGATGTTATTCACTCCAAAGGAACTCTGTCTTCCTCTCCTTCCATCCCAGAAGTTGAACATGATCTTCAAGATTCAAATGTTCCTTCTATTCCAGCTTTACAAAGTTCTGCAAACAGTATTCAAACCTCTTCTTCTTCTCTTTCTAAAGGAAGCAGAGGTCGACCTCCTAAGAATTCTCCAAGCAGTGCTCTAGCAGCATCTAGTAACAGGTTTGAAATTCTCATCTCGGTTGAAGATACTCAGTCAATACCTATTATTCCTGGTAAACAGCCCAGAAAAGCTGCTTCTGGTGTTGCCATCTTGATCAAAGAACTCAAATCAAAGAAGAAACACAATCTTGAGAAATCAAAACTTTCTATTGTTGGCAATAAAGGAGGGGAACCGAATTCCTCAACTCAAGCCTAATGATCATCTCTTTTTGGAACGTTAGAGGATTAAACAATCCTCTAAAACAAACTAAGGTCCTCAGAAGAGCTACTCTCTACAAAGTTGACATTCTTTGCTTGCTAGAAACTCGGGTTAAGCAAGACAAATCTACTGACATTCTAGCCTCCACTTTTGAAAATTGGAATATTTATTCCAATTATGACTTTGCCATAAATGGTAGAATTTGGCTCCTATGGAAGAACAATCTTAATATTTCTTTATGCCATGCTTCGGATCAGAGCATTACTGTTAAAAGCAACTTCAATAACAGTCATTTCTTACTTACTGCAATTTATGGGTGTAACGATGGAATCACGCGAAGGAACCTTTGGCAAGACCTTTGCAATATTGATTCTGATTTTGGTAATCTTCCTTATATTTTGGGAGGAGACTTTAATGTCATCCTTCATCCTCATGAATCTTCTGCTCATGAGCAACTTAGTATGGTCACTTCCCCTGAAATTATTGAATTCCAGGAAATCTCTCATGATCTTCACCTCCTTGACCATCCATTTTTTGGCCCAAATTACTCTTGGAGTAACAAACAAAAAGAAAATTTCCTTGCCCGAAAGCTTGATAGAGTTCTCATCAATCCTCTTTGGCCTGAATTTTTTCCTCACTCATTTGTGGAATTTCTGGCCCCTGGTCCCTCTGACCATTGTATGGCTTTGGTATCTCTTCACAAAGAGGTTCAATCCAATAGACCAAAGCCATTTAAATTTTTTAACTGCTGGACCTTGCACCCAAATTTTATTAATATTGTCAACCACTCTTGGTCCATTCCAATCCAAGGAAATCCTATGAAAAAACTTTTCCTCAAGCTCAAACGCCTTAAAGTTAGTCTCAAAACCCTCAATAATGACTTCTACAGTGACATTTCTGCTCGGGTTAGGCTAAAGAGAGAAGAAATTGAAAAACAACAAATCCTTACCTTAAGAGGCGTTGAACCAGTTGACAATGAGCTTGAACTGCAAAATGACCTCGCCTCCTTAGAGGAAGCCGAAGCAATGGTTCTCAAACAGAAAGCAAAAATTCACTGGCTAAAAGAAGGTGACAAATGTACCAGATTTTTCCACTCAGTCATTGCTTCTAAAAGGAAGAAAGACACCATTAGAGTGATTGTGGATGATCAAGGAAGAAGGTTGGAAACTTTTGATGACATGTCTTCTGAAGTTGTAATTTTTTTCCAAAAACTTCTAGGCTCTCAAAACCCTAATGTTAAAGAATGTCCCTCCAATATTCTTAAAGATCTCATTCATCCTATTCCTCTCTCTGAAGATTATGAAGGCCTTACTAGGGAAGTTACTTCAGAAGAGATCAATGAGGCCATTTTCAGCCAAGGAAATGAAAAGGCCCCAGGCCCAGATGGATATTCCTCTCTTTTCTTCAAGAAAACCTGGCCAGTGGTTGGTAAAGAAGTGATTGAAGCTATTACCTTTTTCTTCAAGGAATCTTATATCTTCCCAGCTTTTAATGCCACTACAATCGCCTTGGTTCCAAAGATACTGAACCCCAGCAAAGTCTCTGATTTTCGCCCTATTTCATGTTGTTCAGTAATTTATAAGGCCATCACAAAGATCATTGTTACTAGGATGAATCAATTCCTGCCAAAGATTATTTCCTCTAACCAATCCGCTTTCGTTAAAGGTAGGAGTATTATAGACAATACTCTCCTTGCCCAAGAAATTGTAAAAGGTTATGGGAGGAAATCAATTTCCCCAAGGTGTGCCTTGAAAATTGATCTTCAAAAAGCTTTTGATTCCATTCACTGGAAATTCATTCCTATCATTCTAAAGGCTCTTCAATTCCCAAATATTTTTATAGACTGGATAGTGACCTGCTACTCTACTGCAACTTACTCCATAGCTTTCAATGGAAGCTTGACTGGATATTTTAAGGGTGCTAAGGGTCTTAGACAAGGGGACCCCCTTTCCCCAATCTTATTTGTCATGGTAATGAACATTCTTTCTAATTTACTCAACAATGCTGTTGTAAAAGGGGTCTTCAATTTTCATCCTAAATGCAAGAAAATTCATCTCACCCACCTTATTTTTGCTGATGATCTCCTAGTTTTCTGCAAGGGAAACTTGGAATCTGTCATGGGAGTCATCACTGTTCTTGACTACTTCTATGAAATTTCTGGTCTCAAGCTTAATGTTTCAAAGTGTGAAATCTTTACTGCTGGAATTTCAGCTTACTCTCTTGACACTATTATTAATTCTTCTGGGTTTAAGCTTGGAAAACTTCCGGTCAGATATCTGGGGATACCTCTGGTCACAAGGAAGCTTTCGGTCAAAGACTTCCAGCCTCTCTTAGACAAGATCAAGGTCAAACTCCATCAATGGTCCAGGAATAAGCTTAGTTACGCTGGCAGATTGGAGTTGATCAAAACCGTTCTTTTTAGTGTGGCAAACTTCTGGTGTAGGCAACTTGTTTTGCCACAATCTGTCATTTTCAAAATCGAACAAATTTGTTCGAGATATTTTTGGAAAGGTTCCGACGTTTCTGCAGTGGGAGCTAGAGTTAACTGGGGTAAAATTTGCACCCCAAAGTCGGAAGGCGGGCTTGGTCTTAAGGACATCAAGTCATGGAACAAATCATACATGCTTCTACTCATCAAGAAATTACTTGCAGGGGAGGGTTCCCTTTGGGTAGCTTGGATCCTCAACTACCTCATTAAGGATCATGATTTCTGGCATATGGAAGAACCGAAGAACTCAAGATGGATCCTAAGGAAAATCATGAAACTCCGAGCAGCTACTCGACCTCTTCTTGCATCCGGAGCTGTGACTACCAAACTGATTTGGGAAGAGATTCGACAGAAAAATGGTAAAGTCCCATGGCATAAACTGATTTGGTTTTCATTGCACATTCCCAAGTTTAGCTTAATCTCTTGGATGGTTATCTTGGATCGTCTTCCTACAAAGGATAGGCTGCTCCGGTTTGGAATTGAAACTAATGATATGTGCATCCTCTGTTCTGAAGCAAGGGAATCCAGAAACCATCTCTTTGCTGAATGTAAAATAACTGCTTCAATCTGGAATTCTATTCTTTAGCTCACAGGTATTCATAAACCTCTTCTTACCTGGACTACCCTGCTTACTTGGGCATATAACACATGGAAAGGCAAGTCATTGCTTACTAGTATTTTGAAGCTTTCTTGGTGCACTCTCAATTATACAATATGGGAAGAAAGGAATCAAAGACTTTTTCGAGGAACCTGCAGATCCGAAGACGAAATTCTGGCCTCAATCAAACAGACTGTGGGAATACAACTTAGCAATAGGGTTGTCAATAGATTGGATATTACTAATCTTTCTTTTTGTAATTCTTGGGGTATTGTATGATTTTTTGTGAATCTTGTCACCCCTTTTTTATTCTTGTTTGTTTGTATTAGATTTGAAGCAATTCTGCTTTCATTGGGTAATAATAATCTAATTATCCAAAAAAAAAACAATAACAATAATAATAAAAATATTTCATTGGTCTAATGATCCAGATGATTTTTAAAAAATATATAAATGTTAAAAAATTAATTTGATAATTAAATTATTTTTTTATTATTAATCTAGAGTAAATACAAAACAATATTTATTTAAAAATAACTCAACATCTCGATATTGAATGCTCACACCATTGATATCTATTGTGCTCAAATGGATCCTTCAAAAATAACAATTCTTTTATTACGTAAATAACTTAATTCGTGCATTTATTATGGTATATTTAAAACTTATGTGAGGTTGCATAAAATATAATAAATAATTACGTGGACATAATGATGTTGAATTTCATGAAACATTCATCTACTCTGCAAGCCAAATTTTACTTTTTAATATATTTTATAAAACCAGTCATATATATGGTAACAGATATCCTAAATCCCAAATTAATATTTTCCAACAGCTGTATTTCTCAAATTTTCCCATCCACAATATTTCCAAATTTTATTGCCAAAAAGAAAAGCATTAACCACATCGCAAATCACAACCAAATAACGTATTTTTCATGCATACTTATTAGGTACTAATGACTCCATTTACAACAATTTAAGCAGCAGAAACTCGAGTGGCATCTAATTTCACTGTAATAAACAATGCCAAACCCATACAGCCCACCAGTATTAGCCATCCTAAATTTCCGAATGAGCCCCTGCCTTCGGAGTGAAAATGTACATACGACAGTCGTGTGAATCGACTTTGGCACTGAATGCTACCACAGCTTTCTCCTCGACAACTTTGTGCTGCAATCAACAGAGATAAGTAACCAGGAATTTAAATGATGCAAAGGCATTATGGTTAGTTCAGTCAAATTTGAACAGTTTAATATGGACTCCCCAAGCTCAAGCAGAGTAACGGTGAGCATCGAAAGTGTGCCTAGTTGATTACTTACCATCATGGTTGAGTCATAAACTTGACAATTCAAAAGCCGAGGCTACGAATTATGGTTTTTCAAATCCATTTTTTTACTTGAACCTCAAATTTTAACCGATCCACAATTTGCAGGCCGACCGAAAGGGAAATCACAAACAAAAGACGATCAACACCAGCTAAAAAGCCAGCTTGCTCACCTGCCACAAATCTCTTACTGCAACAGAGGTGCTAGATTCAAGACCAAGTGCCTCCCACTGAGCTGTTATAGTTGCAGCTTTTGAACATCTATTCCACAAAGCTACGGCTAAGCGATTGCCAGACAGAGGTCCTGCCCAGACCTAAAAAAAAATCACAAATAAAGTCGGAACAGATAGCATAGGGTGAACTCCAAACGATGCATTACACTATATGATCGTCAACTCTCGTCTCGTGGACCCGTCATGGAAAATATTCATATAAGTTATGGAACTTATGTAACAACTTAAACAAGCTGAAAGATCACCTGTTGGCAGTTAGCTTCACCAGCAACCTGAACTTTCCTTCCTTGAACCCCGAGTGAGTCTGCAAAAAGAATAGCAGACAGCACGATTTTCTTTTAATACGAGAAACACATGAGAAACCCGAGTAGGCAACAGACGGGAAGAATTACAATTTTTTTATTTAAGAAATTCACCTTGGTTTATAGATATAACCTCCTTATTGCTAAGAATCTTGAAGGTTTCATCAGTCATGTTTCTTACATCACATCCAATTAAAAGAGGCGCCTGCACCATCGAAGAAAATTTTTCGAGCCAACAAAAGGAATCAAAACGGTGTAAGTTTCATATACGGTCAATGCTATTAATTAAGCAACAGTAAATCGAGGAGAAGTTCCCCGAGGTAAAGAACTAAAAAGTATACTCACAGGACACTATCTAAGTACTAAATAACTTGTTTAGATAAAAAAGAAAGAAAAGACCTTCATCAAAGCCCAAATGCTAAAATGAGCACGGTATTCCTGATACGTCATGCCTCCATTGCCGACTTCCAGCATATCAGGATCTGCTCAAAATGGATTAAATCAAAAGTTCTATAGCAGCAGCTTTGCACAAGAATTTTAACAATTTTATGTGAATAAAAGTAATTTTTTACCATTCCATCCACCAGGTCCAGCATAGGAAGCCCACTTGTTGTTTATATCAGCCAATGTGGTCATGCTAAACAAGGAGAAAAATAACAGATCAATTAATGTAAGAATTCAGTACTAGAAGAACATTTTTCCTTTTCTCCATGAATTGCTGCAAGCTGAAGGTTCAGCTAAACAGGTTTAATATAATTTTATCATGTTGAACAATGATGCAAGTATGGGTGTAAATGAACCGAGCTTGAACGAACAAAGTTGTGTTCATGTTCGCTAAAATTTTCAGTTTTGCTTTCGTTTATTTATTTTTGAAGGTGTTCAAGTTCACTCATTTAGCGTTCGAGATCATGTTCATTTAACGCTCATGAATATGTTCATCTAACGTTTGTTTAATGTTTGGCAACTAAAACTCTAGTTTTATCCTTTTATTTGCAACCAAATAAAAATGGTGAAAATGCACCACTAGTCCTTAAGTTTCTTAGGCTTTACAGTTTGAACTCTAAAACTCACATTATGTTCAATTTAGTCCCTACATTCACCAATATAAGAAAAATGAGCATCAAGTAAACGAGCCAATAAACGAGTCGATAAACGAGTCGATAAACGAGCTTGTTCGTGAACATGAATGAACCTAACACACCTCTATTCGTGTTTGTTCGTTTATTAAATAAACATAAAAATTTTGTTCATACTCGTTTATTTAACTTAATAAACGAACATAAACGAACGATTCACAAACAGTTCGTCTAACGCTTTGTTTATTTACACCCCTAAGTAAAAGTAACTCATTAAACTAAGTCAAGAATTCTAACCTTGCCCATGTATCATTAATGTCATCTGTTGTACGCCAGCTATTTCCAACACCACGAGCCCATAAGGCTGGATCTTCAACCCCCCTGTCAATGAAGCCGTGGTTGATCCCAAGGTTGTGGCCAATTGAGCAGGAAAATAATCCGAACAGATAATAAAATTTTAATTACCATTCACAAAGAGAATAGAAAACTGTTCGGCCTGTTGCATTTAGAGCATCGCACATCGGAGGATATCTGAAATTATGGTTCCAAGTCTAATTAATTAAAGCAAAGCAATATTGATTCTTTGAGTAATTGAAACGAAGAGAAGATGTAACCTTTTTTTAGGGTCAATACCCAGGTTGAAACAGTTGTCATACTTCAAATAATCTACACCCTGGTGTAACAAAATAAAAATAAAACATTTGAATTGTCGAACTTCTCATATTATAAGAAATAGGATATAAGACATTTGAATTATGTCTTTAATAGTTTCCAACAAACCCATCTAGCAAACAGCTGTGCATCATCGGTTTCATGGAAAAGTGATCCGGGTCGAACTTGACATGTAAATACCCTACAACATTAAGTTGGTTTACTGAGGATAATCCGTAATTTAACAGATTTGATGCAAAATTAACTGTTACATTGTGAATCTAACTTCAGAGATTCTGCGTAGGTATCGGAAGTCCATCCTACCCAGCATCACCATAGATACCAAGCTTGAGGCCTTTCCCATGTACATAATCAGCAAGAGCTTTGATTCCGGATGGAAATGTTTTTGGATCAGGGACCAGCTGACCCTGCATGATGAAACAAAGCCGTAAAAATGGTTTGTTTAACTCACTTCCTTACATTCAAAACACTTTTATCATCATTTTATCATGTATCGAGACTAAGATTTTACATTCAAACAATGGACACAAAGTACTAGAACACATATTTGGCAAGGACAAGTTTTATGTGGCTAGGAAACTAAGAAGTGCATATTATTGTTCCACACATTAAACTAGAAACGACATTTCCGATGGATAAAGGTATGTAGAATGCAAGTAGCAAAAGTGTTGATTTCTTTAAAGGCAGTACGATTTAACTAACCTTTGAATTTCGAATAGCAGCAGACCAGCAATCATCTACATCCAATGAAAACAAGTAAGCCTCGTATACGAAAAAATGAAGTTAGAGCAGATACATACAATAAGGTAGAAGAATACCTATATTAACATATACATAGCCTAAATCAGCCAAGCCTGTAGAGACAAGTGCATCGGCTGTTGATAGTAAAAACAAAGTTAGTATTTCTAATGATTTTTAATCAAGAAAGAAGAAGAAAACTATAAATAGAAACCTAAATGGTATCGGAACAATATTTCACATCACAATCTAAATGATTAGGCAAGTTAATAAAGGAACTCGGACTTAATAATCAGAAATTCATTTTAGTTGACAACGATGGTTAGTCAATTACCAAGGATAAAGTTATTTCTTACAAGACATTTTTATAAAATAGATAACATGGCAACCCATTTAGGTATATGTTGTTTCTTAAAATTTTTGAAGTCAAGTTTTGCTCTACTTCGACTCAAATATGTTACCAATGCAAAGGCGGGAATTTCGCTGTTAACTATTTCAGATTAGCAGAATATAATACTAAGGAAAGAACCGACACGGAGCATGATTAAACATGAGATTAACAGGAGAAGAATGAGTCTAGTTTATGTGTAATTCATGAATAATCTTGGTCAAATTGAGCAATATCAAAAATAAGGCAAATGCACCATGAGAGCAACTAAAAATGGGTGAGGCAAACTAATACCTGTTTCCCTAATAAGATCTTCAGTGATATTACAAGCAAAGAAATTCCAGCTATTCCATCTGCAAAACATGCATTAAAATATTAAAAACAGTATGCATGATTTCATTAGCAGTATCACTTGATAAAGTAACATCAAAACCACGGGATTCTGATCTCAATCAAAACCCAGCACCCTAACACCCAAAACAACGTATTCCCCACTTTACATAATCCAAAATCCCAAAATAGAGGAATAAATCAGCAACCAAGAAGCACCCCATTGCATGAAACAAATCAAAATCCAATCTTTTTCCTTAATAGAAGATAGGGAGAGAAAAGGTTTACCCCATTTGAGGAGTTAGAGCCAAGCCATTGTTGAGTTGAAAACCCCCATATTTTGAAGTATCATAAATGGAGTTGAAAGATTTGGAGAAACCAAAACCTTTTTCAAGTTTCTCCAAAACACCCACTTCTCTTCCTTCAATTCCCAGATCAGTCAAACATACTGTAATAAAAACCATCAGAACATGAACATTCAGCTTGTTCTTCTTCTTCATATTCTCCATACCCATTTCTTGCTTTCTTCTTTCCCTTAAAAATTGATCCGTTTCATATAGCTTTAAACATCACAAGCCAAATATATTTCGCTTTTTAGTTTATCCGTTTTGTTCAACATGACCGGTCAGGTCAACGGTAAGAATTACTTTATCGTCTGATTGAGTGTTGCGTTGTCGGATTAAATTATAATTTAGGAAACGGGCCCACATATTTTGTATTTCCCATAATTGTTTTTAGGATAAATTACACATTTAGTATATAAACTATTACTGTTATTCTTTTTAGAACTTAAACTTTATTATTTTAAATTATACTTAACGTTTAGTTTAGGTTTTAATTTAATATCTCACTGTTAAAAATTTAACGATGATATTGATGTATCACCATAAAATAATATAATTTCATCAGTGAAAAAATAAAAATTATGTCATGTAGTAGTTATATTAATTTTTTAATGATAAGTATCAAATTGAAACTTAAACTAAATGTTAGGTATAATTTAAAAATATAAAGTTAGAACAAAACATATAATTTACCCTTGCTTTTACTATATATTTGTATTACTTTTTCAAATATGAAATTCTAAGTCAGGTTCACGAAGGAGCGGTGACACGTGTTTCAGAGTCTCTAGGTTTCTCTAGATTACTCCTCGATCGCAATGGATTTGATTTGATCATAATTTCAGATTTAATTGGAACGTCTACATCAAAAAGAATATGCGAGGAATATGTTAATATTGGATATTTATGTTTTTACGTCAGTTTTAATATACTATTAAAAACAATTTATTGAAAATATTAATATTTTTTTAATATTTTTGATAAAATATTATCTAAAACATTATTATTTTTTTACTGAAAATATTAATTTCGTTACTTAATTTTCTATAAAAAATAATATTTTAAGTAGCGCTTAATATTAATATTTTCAATAAAAAAAATAATATTTTAGATAGTATTTTACCAAAAAATGTTAAACATTTTAACTAGCGTCCAATATTAATATTTAAAAAAAAATAATATTTTATCAAAAAATTAAAAAATTATTAATATTTCCAATAATATTTTTTAATCGTGTATTAAAACTACCGTACCTTAAACATACTCGTTAATATTAGATTCAAAGATAGATAGTAATTTTCTTTGAGGAGTCTTGATTTGATAAAAACGATTTTCTTTTTTAAATTAAACTTTAGTATAAGATAAGTTTTGAGAAGAGGAGAATCGGTGTCGGATAGGGTATGTTGTTAGTGGTGGATCCACCTTAAATTGAAGGTTTGAACGTATTTATCTTAAAATTTAATTGTTTTTAATTATTTATTTTATTATTTATGCTTATTTTAAAATTTTATTTTCACAAACTCAATATAAAACTTTCATGTTATTAATATATGTTTGTCCACCCTAAAAAATATTTATGGGTCTGTCATTGTTTGTGGTATGGCTAAAAAAACGACAAAAATGTGCATAACTGAAAATATGATAAAATCATAATATTTTAGGTTGCTAAAATGTTATATTTTTCCTAATATTTTCAATTTAACCTAAAATATTACGAATAATATAACAATTTCAATTGTCAATCGAAAATGTTATCGAAAATGTTATGAATAATATAACATTTTAGATTCAAAATATTAGGGGGGAAATGTAACATTTTATGTTACGTCCATGTTATGCTTTTTATCACATTTTCGGTTGCACCTATTTTCTCAGTTTTTTAACCTTAAATTAGGGTGTTGTTCCTTATTACTAGATTTGTGTTTAAATTTAAATTCTAAATATTTTGATATAATAAATTAAAAATATTTTTATACTAATTTAATTTCTTAAAAATACATTTTAAAATTATTTTTAACTTAATAGATTTTTTTAAAAATTATCGATGATCGTTTTCGTACTTAAAAGTTAAATTTCTCAGATTTTAAGGTTAAAATGATTGATCTCTTTTTAAAAGGATACAAATTCAATGGCGAAAAGGATGGACTCCTTCTCCAGGAAACAACAAAAGGATTTATCCTTCCTGAAAGAATTGATCCATTGGGTGACAACAAACATACTTTTTTTTAAAAAAATCAATATATCATGTTGTACATGATTTATTTCTTTGTAGATAACAACTGCTTTGCACCCTAACGGTTCATAATCATAAAAAAAATTAAAAAAATAAACTAAAAAAACCTCAACAATTATGAGAAATATTTTGTAACAGCCCAAAAATTGGTCTAATTTTTTTCAATATCTGACGATCAATAAATTATTTTCCAATAAGTTATATTAATATTGGAATATTTGAGATTTTGATTAGTTTTATTTTATATTATGGATTAAAGAGTAAATGATTTTGGATAAAGGTGTGAGAACTAAAATGTGAGAAATGAAGAATAATGTGATTTTAGTGAAAAGTGGAAATTTATGCGCTCAAATGAAAACAAGTGAAAAAATTAATGGCTAAAGATTAATTAGATCATACAACGATTAGTTTAAAGAAGAGAAAAGGTGAAAGAATTGCTTTGGGATGTCACCGTTTTTTAAAATGTTGATAAACTACTTAGGTGGCGGTTTATGCAATTTAGTTTCAAATTTTTAAGTTATTTTAACAAAACTTTTTGGGAGATGTTTCTTATATGTGGTATTATAAGGATCCTTAGGTAAGCTTCTTCGTTATTCTTCTTCACGCTAAAATCATGAGTAAAATACCTATGAGAGCTTCAAACCTTGAACTCTCTCTAGAAATTCAAGTCCTTTCTCTCGTCCAAATCGAAAGATGAAAATACATACTTGGAACTCTCATTTTATAAGATTTCTATTACTAGTGTCAATTTCAATTTTTGGGTAAGTTAATTGGAAACCATAAATTAAAGCCAAATTATGGTTTATGCGAAATTGAAAGATTATGATTAAATTGATCATGATGGCGAAATGAGCATTATGATTTCAATAGACACGATGTTGAGGAGGTGACCTTTCGTGATTTGATGATGGTGCTTTGACATATCATTTGAGCCATTCTAAGGGCACATGTTACCTCAACTACTCCACCTACACCGTCTATTATTACACTCTAAGAGCCCGTTTGGATCAAGGAATTTAGCATTCCCAGCAGGCATAATTTTTTTCCCGTGAGCTTGCCTCTGACTGGTAATCTTCTTCTCCCCCGTGCTGCACCCCTGTGAGTGTAGTATTTGGATCTTCTTTTATCAGACCATTTGTTAGAGAGCAGTATTGCAGCCCCTTCCATCCTGAATAAGCAGTTTGATACAAGTTTCGAGCGATCATTTCCAAAGTACCAGTTCAGGGTATGTTCTCCATGCTGATAACCAATGCATAGAAGTTGGGACGAACTTGAAGAAGATGTTTCGCAAGATCTATTGAGATCAACCCTGCACAACAACTCATTCCTCCCAAATTGTAGCTTTGAATATTCCCTCAAAGCTTGTAATGGTTGATAACCATGGCAGACAACGATGGTGTCGGATTAAACAAACTGCAGTTAACAATCAAAATTCCAATGTCTTTGGGTTTTACGAAGGTCTTAGCCAAAAGCTCGTCAATAGCACCAAACATGACAGCCTTGGCTTCTTTTCTTGCTTGATGCATTGACGGGTTAGGGGGAATGTTGAGTACCGCCTCTGGAAGATATGTTGAATCCCCAAGCCCTGACCTTTCAAGGATCCTACGCTGAAACTGAAGATTATCATCGGTGAATGTACCAGTCATTTGTGATTGATCCACGGACATCATTTTCGAGCATTTACGAGATTCCTCCGGTTTGTAACAAGCGAAGTTGACAAGGTAAACAGGGCGAGTCAGAAAGTAGAGGGTAGACAAGAAAACAAGAATCGTCCAGCAAATGACAAGAGAAATGAGGTTGTATTGAAGATGCTCCCAAAGATCATAAAGATCCTGGATAGAAAATGTTGAGAGCTGTGCCGCGATTACAACTACAATTGGGGTAAGAATGTATTGCTTGTTGGTTCCATGGAACATGAAATGATTCCGTTCTTGTTTTGATACATGTAGAGATTTGACATTGTTGAAACTTGAAATTGTAACTAGACTATTGGCGGCCGAGTTGTGAGAGTTAATGAAGTGACCACCAGATGGGGCAGATCAAATTTTTGTTAGGACCACCCTAGAAGGAGTGAGTGGGATAGGCCTATGGGACAGGACAAAGAAAGAGATCATGGTAGAGAACAGTATTGTGATCGATATAGTGATAGGTTCAGAGAGCGTGATCGGTCTCGGGACAATGATTCTGGAAAAGAAAGAGGATATGAGGATCATGAACATGATAGAGCTGGAGAATACTCATTGGATAGCGATCACAATAGAGAAGTGGATGATCATGTTCAAGGACGCATGTTTAGGATTGGGATAAGGATCATAAGCTGAATTTGATCAAGATAGGGGAGCCTGCTGGAACCAATGGTTATAAAAGTGTTGACGAGGACAATGAGCAACGACTAAAGAGACAGAATGGGTAACACTCCCCAATTGGTTACTTAATGTCTTTTGTTTTTCTTCACTAAATTTTCTGTAATAGAGTTCTTCGCATGTTGATACTGATTCTATTGTGCTTCCTTTGCATGAGTTGTTGCTATATGCTTTCTTATGTCAATGGTTTCCAGTCTAAGGTCTTCTTGTAGTTTATAATATGTTGACTCTATTAATTCTTCTTTATGAGCTAAGCGCTAAGCTTCAATATTTTTCCTTGGATCAATCACTTCAGTTTTAGTAATGTTTCTAGATTTTTTTTTTCATGTGTGTGTGTGTATTAATATGAGAAGTCTTTTAAACTAATTTTCAATTTTGCAGCTACACGAGCAATGATCATGGTAGAGGACTTTCACCTGATTCTGTTGATGATTACAATCAGGCAACCTTAACTTTGTTTTGATGCATGTTTGCATGTAGTCTCCTTTTCATTTTACTAGTTATGTTTTGTTTTCATATGAAAAAAGAAATGGAAAGATCGATTCAAGGCAAATAAGAACTTAAAACAGAGGTCTGCTACATTGTTGGAATTTTGAATTGATT